GCATGTCTTAAACTGCCTGACAGTTATTATTTCTCTTCCCCAGCAGACTCCAAGGGCAAATTTAAATTAAAGGTACAGTGTTTCAGCCACTAATATTAAGTCTCTCTGAAGCCTAGAAAACACCCTTTTTTAAGTTAAATTCACAGCGAATATATTCGACTCGAATCGAAATTTTTCTACGAATTCGCCGAATCAGTCGAATCGAATTTTTGAATACTTCGCTCAATCTCTACTGAGTTCCGCCAGTCGACTCGGTGCCCGCTGTTCCGCCAGTCGACTCGGTGCCCGCAGTCTTGCCAGACGACTCGGTGCCCGCAGTCTTGCCAGACGACTCGGTGCCCGCAGTCTTGCCAGTTGACTCTGTGCCCGCTGTTCCGCCAGTTGACTCGATGCCCGCTGTTCCGCCAGTTGACTCGGTGCCCGCAGTCTTGCCAGACGACTCAGTGCCCGCAGTCTTGCCAGACGACTCGGTGCCCGCAGTCTTGCCAGACGACTCGGTGCCCGCAGTCTTGCCAGACGACTCGGTGCCCGCAGTCTTGCCAGACGACTCGGTGCCCACTGTTCCGCCAGTCGACTCGGTGCCCGCAGTCTTGCCAGACGACTCGGTGCCCGCAGTCTTGCCAGTTGACTCTGTGCCCGCTGTTCCGCCAGTTGACTCGATGCCCGCTGTTCCGCCAGTTGACTCGGTGCTCGCAGTCTTGCCAGACGACTCGGTGCCCGCAGTCTTGCCAGACGACTCGGTGCCGGCTGTTCCGCCAGTTGACTCGGTGCCCGCAGTCTTGCCAGACGACTTGGTGCCCGCAGTCTTGCCAGACGACTCGAAGCCTGCTGTTCCGCCAGTTGGCTCGGTGCCCGCAGTCTTGCCAGACGACTCGGTGCCCGCAGTCTTGCCAGTCGACTCGGTGCCCGCAGTCTTGCCAGTCGACTCGGTGCCCGCAGTCTTGCCAGTCGAACTCGGTGCCCGCAGTCTTGCCAGACGACTCGGTGCCCGCAGTCTTGCCAGTTGACTCGATGCCCGCTGTTCCGCCAGACGACTCGGTGCCCGCAGTCTTGCCAGACGACTCGGTGCCCGCAGTCTTGCCAGACGACTCGTGCCCGCAGTCTTGCCAGACGACTCGGTGCCCGCAGTCTTGCCAGACGACTCGGTACCCGCAGTCTTGCCAGACGATTCGGTGCCCGCAGTTCCGCCAGTTGACTCGATACCCGCTGTTCCGCCAGTTGACTCGGTGCCCGCAGTCTTGCCAGACGACTCGGTGCCCACTGTCGTGCCTGGTGACTCGGTGCCCGCCGCTTCGTCTGGGGGTCTGAAACCTGTTGCTCCGCCTGAGGGCCCGAGACCTGTCGCTCCATCTGGGGGTCCGGCGCCCGCCGCTCCGCCTGAGGGCCCGAGACCTGTCGCTCCATCTGGGGGTCCGGCGTCCGCCGCTCCGCCTGAGGGCCCGAGACCTGTAGCTCTGCCTGGGGGTCCGGCGCCCGCCGCTCCGCCTGGGGGCCCGATGCCTGTCGCCCCGCCTGGGGGCCCGAGGCCTGTCGCTCCATCTGGGGGTCCGGCGCCCCGCCGCTCCGCCTGAGGGCCCGAGACCTGTCGCTCCATCTGGGGGTCCGGCGCCCGCCGCTCCGCCTGAGGGCCCGAGACCTGTCGCTCCATCTGGGGGTCCGGCGCCCGCCGCTCCGCCTGAGGGCCCGAGACCTGTCGCTCCATCTGGGGGTCCAGCGCCCGCCGCTCCGCCTGAGGGCCCGAGACCTGTAGTTCCGCCTGGGGGTCCGGCGCCCGCCGCTCCGCCTGGGGGCCCGAGCCCTGTCGCCCCGCCCGGGGGCCCGAGGCCTGTCGCCCCGCCCAGGGGCCCGGTGCCTGTCGCCCCGCCCGGGGGCCCGGTGCCTGTCGCCCCGCCCGGGGGCCCGGTGCCTGTCGCCCCGCCCGGGGGCCCGAGACCTGTCGCTCCATCTGGGGGTCCGGCGCCCGCCGCTCCGCCTGAGGGCCCGAGACCTGTAGCTCCGCCTGGGGGTCCGGCACCCGCCGCTCCGCCTGGGGGCCTGATGCCTGTCGCCCCGCCTGGGGGTCCGAGGCCTGTCGCTCCATCTGGGGATCCAGCGCCCGCCGCTCCGCCTGAGGGCCCGAGAGACCTGTCGCTCCATCTGGGGGTCCGGCCCCCGCCGCTCCGCCTGAGGGCCCGAGACCTGTCGCTCCATCTGGGGGTCCGGCGCCCGCCGCTCCGCCTGAGGGCCCGAGACCTGTCGCTCCATCTGGGGGTCCGGCGCCCGCCGCTCCGCCTGAGGGCCCGAGACCTGTAGTTCCGCCTGGGGGTCCGGCGCCCGCCGCTCCCGCCTGGGGGCCCGAGGCCTGTCGCCCCGCCTGGGGGCCCGGTGCCTGTCGCCCCGCCCGGGGGCCCGGTGCCTGTCGCCCCGCCCGGGGGCCCAGTGCCTGTCGCCCCGCCGGGGGCCCGGTGCCTGCCGCTCCGCCTGAGGGCCCGAGACCTGTCGCTCCATCTGGGGGTCCGACGCCCGCCGCTCCGCCTGAGGGCCCGAGACCTGTCGCTCCATCTGGGGGTCCGGCGCCCGCCGCGCTCCGCCTGAGGGCCCGAGACCTGTAGTTCCGCCTGGGGGTCCGGCGCCCGCCGCTCCGCCTGGGGGCCCGAGGCCTGTCCCTCTGCCCGCCCGGGGGCCCGAGGCCTGTCGCCCCGCCCGGGGGCCCGGTGCCTGTCGCCCCGCCCGGGGGCCCGGTGCCTGCCCCCGCCCCGGGGGGCCCGGTGCCTGCCGCCCCCCCCCGGGGGCCCGGTGCCTGCCGCTCCGCCTGGTGGCCCGCTGCCTGCTGCTTCGCCTGGTAGCCCGATGTGCCTCTGCCCGGAGTCCAGCCCGATGTGCCTCTGCCCGATGTGCCTCTGCCCGGTGTGCCTCTGCCCGGAATGTGCCTCTGCCCGGAGTCCAGCCCGGTGTGCCTCTGCCCGGAGTCCAGCCCGGTGTGCCTCTGCCCGGAGTCCTGGCCAGCGGATGCTCCCAGCAATCAGAGACTCAACTTTGCAGCCAGCTAACACCTGGAACTGATTATGCTGGGGTATTTAAGGGATGGCCAGACCCACAGACTCTGCCTTGGTGTTGTGTTTGTCCTGGGCCCTGTATCCTGTTTCTGTCCTGCATCCTGTTTCTGAACCGCTGCTGACTTCTCCTGCTCTGATCCCGGCTCGCTCCTGACCATCCCTCTGCCTGACCCTCTGTACCACGCTGCTTGCTACCTGTTCTGATCCCTGGCTTGTGACCCTGACCATCCCTCTGCCTGACCCTCTGTACTACGCTGCTTGCTACCTGCTGAACCTGGCCTGTGACCCCGACCAATCTCCGCTTGCTCCCCCTGTACCTACCTGCCCTATTGATATTGACCTGGCCTGCCTGACGACGCTTGCTTGTATGTACTGTTATCTGTGGGTGGTTGGTTTGGTTTGGTTGCACTGTATTATGTTTTAGTATTGCACTGCGTTTATGTTTGTATTGTTAGTGTTAATAAATTATATTGTTTATAACATATCTGAGGTCTGCGTTTCCCTGCGTCAGCCACACACCTCTGGTCACACCTGGGAGCCCTGACAGTTACTTTTGGTCCATGATTCAAAAACAGTAGACTCGAGCCATTCAGCTACATTCTCTCCTCTGTCTTTTTGTCTGGATCCCTGAACCCTTGGAACCACCTTCAGTGACTCTTGAAATATACTGAGGCTTGGCGCGCAGCAGCTGGCATGGAGCTCCGGAGTACACTTCAGCCTCTTGGAGAGAAAGCAGCTCCTTCCAGGCTCTAAAAATCACAAAACCTGGGTTGCACACCCAACCACAGCAATCTTCCACAGAAAGACAAATCCCTACTATCTTCTTCAAACAACAATCACCTTCCAGTAGCAGTGGGTCAGCAGACAAGATGGCGTTGTCCCGCCAAGAGGAAGATTATGACGAGGAGTCATTGCCAGCATCTGAAGACTCCAAGAGACTCCATAATGCCAGACCACCCACTGACCTATGCTGACATGACAGAGATAGCGGCAGATATTAAAAATTCTTTTTCTGCAGCAATCACCTAAACTTAGACTTAAAAGCTGTCATACTAGTGCTCACAGAGCAAATTGCAGCAGGAAAGAGAGCAGAGAAAAAGAGAGAAAGAGCTATCACGAGGCTGGAAAAAGTCACTGCTACACACTCTCAATATCGAATCGCTATGAACAGACAAGTTGAAGATCTAGACAACAGAGGCAGAAGGAATAATATAAGAGTAAAAGGAGTACCAGAATCAATAAGTTCTGAGCAAATCAAACTAGCATTATGCTCAATATTTAATAACTTATTGGAGAGGTCAACAGTTTCACAAACTGAATTTGATAGAGCACACAGAGTTCTAAGACCAAGAGCTCAAGACACGGCACTTCCAAGAAATATAATTTATTGTCTTACAAATTTCTGTCTTAAAGAAGAAATTCTAATGAAAGCAAGGCAAAATTAACTAATTACCTTTAATGGAGACACAGTCTCTCTATTTCAAGATTTGTCACCCATCACTCTAAAGAATAATAGGGCTGTCAAATCCATCATAGAGGTCATGAATGAAAAAAGAATCCCCTATAGGTGGAAATTCCTATTTGCTGCACAGGCAATATTAAATGGAAAGCAATTTATGCTACACACTCTGGGGGACCTTCCCAATTTCTGTGAAAATCTCCAAATTGACTTAATAGACCTTCCTGAATGGTGTCAGGAATTCCATCTACCACCTTTGCCTGGCAACCCACCTGCATTGCCTGCTAAAACACCAATAAAGAAAGGAAAAACCTACGAACCTGGCACTTCTCTCTACAACTTTCCTTTACTCAAATCTCCTAGAGTAACAGACAATTGCTGATACACAGGAGAATTTTTTTTCTGATCTTCCAAACTTCTTTTAACTACCAAAGAGAACTCTACATGTTTTACACAGGGAGTGATACATATATTATATTCACCATCCCCTAAAGAAAACTTCGGATTCAAAACAGCTTGGAATCTTACAAGAGTACCAGCTTATATTGTTGCCTTACTAGTGGTTATGGCAGTGAAAAAGTATATAAATATGGTATAACTAATATGTCTGTTTAATATCATATGGACAACTTGAAATTAAAAGCAAAGGGTATAACTAATATGTCTGTTATAATTTCATGATGGACAACTTTGAAGGATCCTGCATGAGACATTAATAATTAACCTACAATATAACTATGACTGACTAACAGTTCCTTATGCTGTACGTTTTACAAAACAGTTGAGATATACCACACTTCTGTAACACAGTCTTCGCCATCAGATTGTGCTGCTACTATACCTCTTGTTGCTTCCAAACAGGGACTTAAAGCGGAGTTCCACCCAAAAGTGGAAGCTCCACTTGTTTGCCTCCTTCTCCCTTCCACTGCCATATTTGGCACCTCTTGGAGGGTGGGATCAGATACCTGGTTTTGACAGGTACCCAGCTCAGTTCTCCGCGGCAAAGTGAGCCGGACGTTTGGCCCCCCTCCTTCCTCCCTCAGTCTCCTGGGACTTTCACAGGTCCCAGAAGACTGCTGGAGCAATCAGGATGCGCAGCACGACTCACGCATGCACAGTGGGCACTCGGCTGTGAAGCCGCAAGCTGTCACAGCCTTGTGCCCACAGTTGAGATGCTGGCGCCGGGGGAAAGAAGAAGGAGAGAAGAAGGAAAGAAGGGATGGCGCGGGTGAGCATGTCGCTAGATCCTGGAACAGGTGAGTGTGTGTTTATTAAAAGTCAGCAGCTACAGTTTTTGTAGCTGCTGACTTTTAATAAACACAAAAACGTCTGGAACTACACTTTAGGGTTAGCTATCACCACTACCTTGATGAAAAGAAATACAACTATACTTAAATACGGAATATATATTAAGTAAATTCAATACTCCACCACACCAAAGCATGCAAATATACACAAGCAACAATGTTTACCATGCAGATCAAAAAGACACCAAACCTATTACTAGTTATGGACAATACATGTTTTTCTGTTTTCTGGCTCATCTTCAGAAGACACCACTAGAGGAGCTATTATGCTGTTATTAAGACATTACCTTAAATGCTACTCGCATTTCTGAAAGATCTACTTCTGAAAAAGCTTTGGATATACTGAACATTTTACATTAAACAGGATATACTGAATATTTTATGCATTCAGGTCTACCCTAGATTAATCCACCTTACACTAATTGATCTACCATGCTAGGAAATCTCACTAACAAAGTTTTTTGGTAACTGGTTTAATTGTATATAGTTGGCACCATTGTTATATAAAGAAACCTCCACAATAGAAATGGGCCTGTAACTTATGTTATTTCAGCAATGATACCTGGAATTACTACCTAAAATGGAAACTCAAATAACACCTTACTCAAACTATTATAGGACAATAATAAACAATTTATCGACATGTTGACATACAACGATGTACGGTTTAATAGTTTTTTATTCATTAAGTAAAAAGGTACCTTAGCTTACAGATTAGTTTAAATTACACTCTTTGAAAAACCTGTTTTAGCTCAATAGTCAATGATTATATAAGATTTAATGTAAAAATTATATCAGATATATAAAGATATGTACGGGAACCTATTCTTTTCAATATGGGCGACCTACACCAGTTTTTTCACTGTAGAAATCTATTAAGCTAGATAAACTGGGTTGCATTACTAATATGTTCTTCGAAGCTATATGAACCGAGGGATTGTAGACTCCTCTGAACTCCATTTTATACAGTTGCAAGAATAAGTATGTGAACCCCTTGGGATTTTGTGGAGTTTTGCATGAATTGGGCATAAAATGTGCTCTGAACGTCATCTAAGTCACAACAATAGAAGAACACAGTCTGCTTAACATAATACTACACAAACATTAGATGTTGCCATGGTTTAATTGCACATAACATGTAAACATTCACAGTGCAGGGAGGAAAAAGTATGTGAGGCCCTAGCTTAATGACTTCTCCCAGAGCTAATTGGAGCCAGGAGTGAGCCAACCTTGACTGCAATCAGTGTGATGATATTGGATGTGTTGCTGACAGCTGTCCTGCCCTTAAAAAACACACACCTGTCTTGGGTTGGGTTTACTGGTTTCAAGAAGCACTGTCTGATGTGAATCATGCCTCGCAGAAAAGAGCTCTCAGAAGACCTACGATCAAGAATTGTTGACTTGCAAGAAGTTGGAAAGGGTTACAAAAGTATCTCCAAAAGCCTTGATGTTCATGTGTCCACGGTAAGACAGACTGTCTACAAATGGAGAAAGTTTAGCAGTGTTGCTACTCTCCCTAGGCGTGGTCGTCCTGTAAAAATGACTGCAAGAGCACAGCGCAGAATGCTGCATGAGGTAAAGAAGAATCCCAGAGTGTCAGCTAAAGACCTACAGAAATCTC